CAATTGTGAAACAATTTCACATTCATTGAGATAGTCGTGAAACTCGATACTAAGATACTTTCCACATCTTTCAGATCGAAGCATCTTTACCTTCCTACCTAATTGATTATCGAACTCATGCTTAAAGTCTTTGAACTTTTCAAAAGTTTCTGATTTATGTTTGATAAAGTAGATATACTCATATCTATTATAATCATCTATAAATGTCACGTAGTATCAATTGGTATCCCTTGTAGCAGATCTGAAGCGCCCATACACATCCATATGGATGAGGTCTAAAAATCCTTCACCTCTTTCACATGTTCTAGTGAAAGGTGATTTCATCATCTTGCCCAAAAGACAAGATTCACATTTGTCATCCGAACTCAATTCAAATGATTTCAACACTCCATCCTTTTGGAATTGAGCGATGAGTTTCCTGTTAATGTGCCCAAGATGACAATGTCACAAGCATGCATTGTCTACACCTTTAGACGAATCAATATTAAATACACTATTGCCTAAGTTATCAAAACAAATCACATTTTCATACACACCATTACAAGGTAAAACTTTAAACATAAAACACCATTTCGATATGCTAAAATCGAACACCTGCTTTTATTTATTTGAGAAATTCCACACTTTGATTTTATGAATCTGATTAGATGATGTTTGAACAAATGGTTTTTTTACCCTTTTGAGAATAAAATTAGTAGGGTTTCCTTTATATTAAAAATCAAAATTTTGTTTGGAAATTGGAGAATTTACAAAAATGAGGATGGATACAACTAGGGCAATTCATACTTGTTGATTTTAAAATTTTGATGGTTCAAAAAAATTTAAAGTTTTGCATTTTTTCCATGAAAGTTATAATCCTGTTTGGTGGGGGTCTCGAAAGAAAGCTATGCAACTAAGCATCTAAAGTCTAAACCCAATGGTCCAAGTCGTATAGATTATAACAGAGTTTGCAAGATGGTGCATGTTAGTGTTCATTCCTCTTCAAATTGTATAATTAGGCTTTTCCAAATATTCATTTGACGTAATTTTTAGATTGATGTAATGGAGTGCATGTCGACGTTTAATTTTATAGGTCTTCATCCGTGTTGGATGTTCACAATCACTTATATGGAAATGGTCTTATAGAGGGCATTTATATAGTTGACAAGACTTACAAAATTGATTTTGTTATATTTTATAAAAATGGTAAATTTGGGTTGTGGATATAATATTACATGTTATTATTTGATTATAAATCGTTTAATCATTCAGTAATTAAAAATGAAATAAGATTTTGCCATTGCAATTTGCACCTTAATTTTATGTTGGTAATTATAACTTTTGTGATTATTAAAGATTTATGGGTTCAATTCGATCTTATGACAATGAAAAGCACGATGCATGAGACTCCCATAATATAAATCTTTTAATTGTTTTATACGCTATGTTTTCTAATAAATGAGGACTAAAACTCATTCTGGGTTTTATAGTTATTATTAATTTGGTTAAAATCTATTACATAATATTTTAAAATTATGAACATTTTTTTTATTTATAATTTTCACTTATCATTTAATTTGATGTATTTGTGAGCTTTTATAATTTATAATTTATAATTTTTACGATACGTTATCAACAATTTATATGGTTATTAAATTTTTCAATGTTTGTAATAGGCAATCAATTTCTTCCATAATAAAAAATTAGAACCCCGATATTTATTGATCGACAATTTTGAGAGTGGTTTTGAAAAATTAAAAACCGACATAACATGTTTCAGGAGTGGTTCCTATATTCTAGGGCGTAGGTTCCACTTTTAGTAGGCCTATATATAAAAAATCACAAAAAAGAAAACATAGATAAAATTATAAATTTTAACATATTTTAGTCATATATTTGTTTCACAACATATAGAAATATATAGCTAGTTGATTACATAATGGTATATGTTCTCTACGTGATATTTAATTTTATACACTACGTGCAAAATTCATCTCCTTCACGTTTGTTGATGCATTTAACATGCACGTCGATGCTTTACTAGTATTCTTAATGGCCTAACTTTTACAATATTAAAATGATACATTGGTAAATTTTGTATGAGGAGTTGGTGCATTTACTATCTGGTTATTAACATGAGGACATAACTAACATGTTGGGAATTAAATGTCTTAAATTACTGGAAAACATAGTTCCAAGGTTATTGAGGTAACTAATTGGTTCACTAGATGCCTAATCTTTGTTCCTTATAGCTATATGTTTAATTTAAAGAGAGGTGTTTGAAAAAAAAAAATCAAAAATTTTCCATAATGCATGGGTCGGAGTTTATATTAATAATGACACTTTTTAATTTGTACGTTCAAGGTTGTCATTAAAGTGCAAATTTGACTGCATTGATAGTGATCACCGCCACCACCATCACCATTATCGTCACCGTCACCATCAACTACTATACCACAAAATGTCCTCGTTGTTGCCAAATTCCCCACGTCTTTTCTTTTCATTGTAACCAGCACCAGTACCACACAATGTGCTTCATCATGACCACGATCACCATCATCACTTCATCACATGGTGCATCTTTGCTAGTTGCTACTACTTCCATCACACTCGTGTTTAGTTTTGTTTCTAGCACGTTGTCCTTGTTCATCACCACCAATGAAAAATGTATTCCTTGCATTGAAAGGAGGTTATGTACATGCATACCTTCACATATTGATCATTCATTTATATGATATTCGATTAAGTTTACGACCACAAGAGACATCATATATGCTTAATTGTTATATTAATTGTCGTTTTCAAATTCACACACACACACACACACATATATATATATATATAGATATATATATATATATATATATATATATATATATATATATATATATATATATATATATATGAGCGTTCAATCGAGCACATTTCTTATTTCGAGAAAATTTGAGAAAAAATTTTGACCACACAATTTTTTAAAATTAAAATCATCATATAATTTTAATATACACCAAGAAATAAGTAAAAATAATTAGAAAAAACCCACTAACCAACACCACCCACCACTCAAACAATACCATCCACCAACACCACCACCCACCTCCATCACCACCACCCCACCCCCCACCCCCCACCCACGAAAACCACCATCCAACATCATCACCACCATCCGCCATCACCAACTACGACCATCATCCACCACCATCACCACCACCTGCCACCACCAACCCCACCCACCACCATCACCACCACCTGCCACCACCACCCACAACAACCACCACCACTATCCATCTCCACCACCCATCCACCACTATGACCACCACCACCATCCATCACCCATCACCACCACCCGTCACCACCACCTATCACCACCGACCACCACCACCCGCCACCATTACCCCCCACCTACCATCATCACCACCACCCACCAACCTCTACCACCTAGCCACTACCCACCAGTAAGACCACCACCCGCTACAACCACCAACCACCACCCACCACCTATCACCACCACTCGCCACCACCACCCATCACCACCACCCATCACCACCATCCATCACCACCGACCACCACCACCCATCACCACCACCCGCCCCTATCACCCCCACCCACCTCCACCACCCACCCACCTTCACCACCCATCACTACCACCCACCCACTACCCACCATTATGGCCACCGCCTTTCATTACCACCAACCACTACCCACCAACCATCACCCATCACCACCACTCGCCACCACCACCCGCCTTCACCACCCATCAACACCACCCACCTCCACCACCTACCACCACCCATCAGCATTGACCACCACCACCTATCAACACCACCCGCCACCATCACCTCCACCCACCACCGACACTACAAGAAAAATGACTTACAGTCACACCAAAAAAGTGTGACCATATGCGTATAGTGACATTTTAGTTTTTCACTGAAAGTGTGACGGAAGGTGACGTCATCGTATGGGTCTTATGATCACTTTAAAATGTAGTGTCTGTATGATATGAAAACATGTGGCCGTATTATAAAAGTGTGGCAAATGTGTACGGAATTTTGTTCCTTAAATATCCAATATTGTAGCGTTAAACCGTCAGTAGTCACATTTATTTAGTAATGTGGTGACTGTATATCACCACCTTGCGACATTCATGATGTTTTAGTGTAGTTGTTTTGTTTTATATTGTCACACAGTTTAAATTTTATTAACACTATTGTGTATGTTTTGTAAACAAGTAATTACGGTGAGCATGACCATATTTGCTAAATGGTCACATGTAATTAATTCCATAAGTGGCGAATTGCTAATAATTAGTCACAAAAAACAATCAATTTTTGTGACTATAGTCTATCATATAGAGACACACAATTAAGTGAAATACAATCATAAGTATTATAAAGACATACATTTTGTTAAAATTAAGGACTATTCGATGTCGTATTAGCACTATTGGGTATATTTTAGACACATATAATTACGGTGAACTTATCCATGTTCGGTAAATGGACACATATAATTAATGAGGTAAGTGACGATTTGGTAGTATTTAGTCACAAAAACAATCAATTATGGTATTTATTTGCCACATAAATTGTTTTTCATGTTGTTATTTTTTAACTTAGTCACAAAAACTTTAGAATAAACATCATTTTATAACAACTTTAGACTCATAATTCTTGTATATTATGGCTATTGTTAACCATTTAGCCACACGTTAAAAAATGATATAAAGTAACCATTATATAATTTTAGAGACATTGAAAACCTATAAAAACATAGCCAAATTCATATTAAAGCCACAATAATTCAATTTTTATTGTTACTTTTTCTACATTGTAGACACATCAAAATAATTTAAATTAAAGTAACCAAACCCAACAATATGAAACAATATCATAACGCATAATTTCATATATAGTAAAAATTGAAATCCAAATCCATACATTAAATTCCTAATTAAAATACCAAAAAACAAAAATTGTACTAATTGAAAGTATTTAAATTATGGTAAAAAAACTAACACATCACAAACCAAAACCTAGACGTAACTAGACATTCATCTTATTAGTATTGCTCTTTGTCTTCTTGAGAATGGAATCAGATAATATGTAAGTTGGTTTCCTTTTCTTTTAGTTTTGAAGTTAATGGTCTTTATGTGATATAATATTTGGTACCTATACCAACAACATTGAAACAAAAAAAATGAGTTCATTAAAAACTTAGTATACAAGTTTATAAAGAAAAAAAGTGTAATGTACAAAGAAGTTAACATAAAATGCAGGTTAACAAAAATAAAATGCAGGTTAACAAAAATTAGATGTTGTTAATCAAGAAGATTAAAGTTGACCAGCTTTCTCCGTTACTATAAATTCATAAGCACGCAACATTTCAAGTGCTACAAAAACACAAGAACACAAGTTAAAAGCAGGCAACCCTATCATTTAACTTTTTCATTGAATAAAGTTTACCAAAAGTGAATCACAATTAACTGGCTCATAAACCTAGGCATCAACATGCCTTAATACACCCGAAATTGTGATTTGTTCCGCAAGTAAAAGCTATAAAATCAAAACTTTAGGTTACAATTTCAACCAACCGTAACTTTGGGGGTAAAAAGTTTAAAAGTAAATATACCCAAACACCAATTGTCCAGCAGTGAGAGCACATCTAAGCTTACAGCAGCAATAAGCACCACCATGCCCAAAACCATCAAAGCTAGCACAAAAAAGGCAACCAAGAACAAAACAATTAGTCGATCACAGGAAAATTATTAAACTGCAATCAATAATCCAAAATTCCATTCAGGCCTTGACAAAACTAGAGGACATCGTCCCGCTTCCCTCATCTACAAACAGAAAAACCAAGAAGATATGAATCAAATATATATTTTAGTTATTAACTTACATACAGGGAAAGATAAAAGCCGGTGGCATAAGTCTTGAGGCAAAGGTCACAATCTTGAATCTGACCGGTGGTTGAAGGCTCGACGATATCGTCGTCGTACAAATGGGATAATCGGTGTCTTGTGGTGCGTGCGATGTACACTAATATGAATAAAGAATTAGTCGAAATAAGAATCAAATAAGAAAATAAAACATCGATACCATATAGATACCATATAGAGGCGTACCTGGTGGACAGAGACGGTCGCTGATAACGGCGACGACATATGGTAACAGCGACACGATCAACAACCGGACACGGTGAAGGAACCTGATGGCTTCGACTGGAAATTATCAATTTCTGCATTATCTCGATTTCCCTTGGCCTAATATTGTTATATGATTCTCGATCTAATATTGTTACCGAAAGGGTGCTATCGAAGTGGCGGTGTTGGCGGAGTGGAGGTGTTGGCCGGAGGTGGATCAAGTAATGTCGATGGAAGCTGGAGAGATTGCTTTGAAGAAGAAGACGTCGTTGTTTTTTGAGAGAGAGAGAGAGAGAGCAGCAATGTGAAATTGAGAATGCGATTGAGATGGTTGGTGAGCGACGACAATAAAATGACCAGAAGAAATGGAGAGTTCTAATCAATTGATGTGTTATTGGTGGAGGCGGTGCACGAAACAGAAGACTAAGAGTACAGGGTGTTCGCCGGTTATTAGGGTTAGATAGATTTGAGAAAGGTCCTTGAAGGGAGGTTAATAGAATTGGATCATTTAAAATTTTGGGCATTGGGAATTCGAATATTTTAGATTTCAAACGTGGGAAATTCATATATTTTAGATTTAGATACGTGGATATATATATATATATATATATATATATATATATATATATATATATATATATATATATATATATATATATATTACATTTAGAAAAAATAATATTTAACATTTTAATAAATATTTTTGTTAATTATATTATTTTATTTTATAATACATATTATTATTTACTATCATCTTAAAATTAATATTTTTTTTAATGCAATGATAATTGTAAAACCTATGTATTTATTAATACTTATAAGTTTTTAATTACAATATAGATATTTTTATTTTACTACTAGTGGCTTGAGTTGTGAAACGAAAGTCCAATTATCGAGGGTAGGTAGGCGTCGGTGTGGGCTTGTAGGAATCATATAGGTATGGGTGGTTAGGCGTATGGGTACACATATAAGAGTGAGGCTGGGGGTACGTGTCGATAGGGTAGATGTGGGGTGTAATTGGGATGAGCATGTGGATGCGGGTGTAGAGGTAGGGTTGGGGTGGTGTGCGGTAGGTGTATATATGTCTAGTTATGGGTTTTGTAGTTTATATAGGGTTAGGCTTGGTAGGCGTGGGAGTGTTGTCATAGGAGTGTGGGTGTTGTGATAGGAGTGTGGGTGGTGGGTGGATAGATGGGTGGTATGGTTGGGTAGATGGGTGGGTGGGTGTGGGGTGTGGGTACGGGGAACGAAGGTATGGTGAGGTGGAGGTAGGGTGGGGTAAGTATCGATATAGGTAGGTGTAAGTAGAGTGTGGGTGCGGGTGAAGATAGGTATAGTTGGATGGCTTATGGCTTATAGCGTAGGGTTTAGGGCTTAAGCCTTATAATTGAAGGCTTAAAATTTGTGGTTTAAGCCTTGAGTTATAAGCCTTAAGCTTCAAGCCATAATTTATACCTCATAATCCTTAATCCATAAGCCATGAGTCATAAGCCACAAGTCATAACCCATAATCCATAAACAACAAGCCCATGGCAATAAAATCGAAGCTCTAAGCAATAAGCAATGAGCCATGAGCCTAATTTGTAAGCCTTAATTCTTAGGCCATAAACATAAGTCATAACCCCTAAGCCTTAATCCTTATTTCCTAAGCCATTACCTATAACCATAACCACAAGCCACAAGCCCTAAGGTATAAGCTATAAAACATAAGCCATAAACCTTGACATCTATTCATTAAACCATAAACCCCAAGCATACAACCTCAATCCATAAGCCATAAGGCACAAGTCCAAAGTCATACATTGTGCGCCCTAAGCCCCAAGCCATAAGTCATAAGTCATACGTCAAATCCATAAGCCACAAGCCATTAAACCATAATATATAAGCCATAAGTCATAATTCCTAAGTGCTAACCCTTAAGCCCTAAGTAATATACCATAATCCATAAGCCTTAGGCCTTAATTCATAATCCATAAGCCCTAAGTCACGAGTCATAAGTCATAATTCATAAACCATAAGTCGTAAACCTTAATTCCCAATCATAAGCCTTATTCCCTAAGCCATACATCATAAGTCATAAGCCCTAAGCATAAGCAATAAGCATGAGATGTAAACATATACATGATTAATTATACAAGTTACATGAACTTTGAGCATGAAATTTTAAAAACACCATTATTTATCTTCTTTTAACATTTTTTGTTACTAATTTTTGTTAAAACAACATTATAAGTGGTCCCTACTCCCCACTTGACCTACTAAAACTCAACCGATCCTCACCCCTAACACACTCCAACCATGAGATTCCTTTTATTATTACCTTTTCTTGTCATCTTCTATGGTCACATAGAACAATCCCACAAATCATACACTTGTATGATCATATAAAAACAAATCCCTTTTTTGACATGATATTAAAACGATAATAGCATGAAACGTCGTATCAGCGATGTGTTCGTGTTTATAAGTCGTGTATATTTAGTACTATTATATATTGTTTTATGTTATTGTTTGTCGTGTTTAAAAGTAGTGATATCATGTTATTCGTGTTTGTTGTGATCTTATTGAGTCGTGCTCATGTTAATGAAATAACATGCTATCTTGTCGTGTTATGTCTTGGTTGAATACAAATAGTGTGTTCGATGTCGTGTAAAAAACACAAATAATCATCCGACTTGCCATCCCTACTCAGACCACATGATGGTCATCACACTATACCTCATAATTTGATAAATCAAAATTTAAAAATAAAATGTATATTTATCGTGAATGAAATTTTCGTTTCCCCCTAAAATATTTTCTTAATTAATCTTAGTTTCCCGCTAAATTTAACTAATTTTTATTTAAATTTCCGTCCGAAAAACTAAAAATTTGATTCCCCTCTACTCAAACTATATATTTTCCAATGTCAAAAGCGGTCAACGAAAATTCAAAAAAATTAGGGGCAAAAATGTCAAATTGAAAACTTTGCTAGGGTTGGTTCCAAATTTTCTTATTCGAACGTATTGGGAAAAAATATTCTCTCTCGTCTCAACTCTCAACCATGAACGGACAGAGGAATTGAACTGCCGACATCCTCTTCTTTTGATCACGCCTTTTGCTCCGCTACGAACCTGCTCAACTTAGAACTTCACCATCACAATATCGAGTTAGAGAAGCCCGAGCTCAGAAGAACTTCTCCTTGGCATTTTCAACTTCGAAACTCGCGTCAAGCACCATTGATTGAGTCAGATGGAGGGGTCTACGAAGGGAAAGGTAGCGAGGGGAGAAAGCGGGGGTTGTTAATTTGCTTTCCAAAATCGTTTGTTCTTTCTTCATCTTTTTCTGGTTCGAGGTTTTGGATTTGTGTCTCGGTTGTAACAGGTACGGCATAAGTGGTGGTGATGTTGGTTGGAATGAAAACGAAGAAAAAGTGACTTCGACATCTGCAACATCAGGTAATCAATTGTTTTTTTGTAATTTATTTTTCTGAAATCAGTTGGAGCTGATGTATGAAATCAGCTGACAAACAAATTGTGTATGAAATCAGTTGAGAAATGAATTGTGTATGAAATCAGATTGTATCTAGATGAAATCTTTAATTATTTTGTGTATGAAACCATCTGCCGACCAAGTGTTTGATCAATTGACAATACATAAGTTATTTGAAGGACACAATATGAATTACATCGAATGCATCAATGTGGACTTCAGATCGACAAGAAAATAATCATACTATGGTATTAATTGTGCATGAAAAATTGCAACTCATAACAGTTTGAAGCATTATTAAACGACCCTGCTTATTGTTCTGATTCATTGTGTAGATAAATGGAAAATATCTATCTCCTGATGCTGATAAGTGTGTCCGGAATCTTTATAACATGCATAGGTATCAAATGTGGCTGTCAAATATTAGGTATTTGCAAAATCAGGACTTACATTTTCACTGTGTATCCTGGCAGTGTATTGGTTAATAATGGTGGTGTGCATGGTGGAGACTACTATGCATTTATCAAGCCAACTCTTTCAGATAAATGATGAGTTCTAATATGTTTAATCATTTCCTACATGTATTTTCAAGTTTGATGATGAAAGAGTATTCACTTGAGTTTCTGTGTTTCCAACCACAAATTTATCCTCTGCTTTCATGCCTTGCAACAGCTACCCTGGTTTCAATAATGCTTCGTTTAAATTTACAAAATACTCGAACGCATACATGCTTGTTTACATGCGTGAAAGCGACAAAGAGAAGATAATTTGTGATGTAGATGAGTTTGTGATGTATTAAGGATCAAAGGGTTTTTTTTTAATCGTAGCTTGATGTTATAATGTTATATTTATTATTTTTTTTAATTGATATAATGTTATATTTATTAATGTTATATTTAATGTTATATTATTAGGATTAATGTTATATTTATTAATTTTTTAATAATTTTTTTAATAATTAATGGTCCCCGATTAATCCCCGCCTAGCCGATTAATCCCTAGACCCCGGTCCAACGTCTAGCTAATGTCTAGCGTTTTTTACAACCTTGCTTTTTACTCTACAAAATTACATTTGATCTCTTTCAACTTCTCGGTAATTTCAAATCAACATTAGGTGTTCCTATCCGTACACAACGCACCATTCATCTCCTTCCCAAAGTCGACAATCATCTCCATACAAGGTAGTCCACTACAAGGCATCATTCATCGAACAAGGCATTGGTTTAGATTGTGTTTAATTTTGATTTATGTTCAATTTGGATTTTAACTGTTGTTTATATATTTTTTTTATAATTATTTAAGAAATTGATTGTGTTATTTTATAAACAGACATTTGAATTCACTAAAAAAATGAAAGAGAAGGGTAAGTGTGTCTGCTTGTTATAATGCTTGAAAAAATACATATGCTTATGGTCCTAAATAGATACTTTTATACTTGTGTCCTAGGCTCTACAAAAGGACCACAGATGCATTCAAGGGCATTATGTTCCAATAAATGTTTTGGCTTTCAATCCTAATAGGAAAATGTACATTCTTTTTTGTTTAAGAGAATTAAAAAATTGAAATGATGTCAATGAGGCAAAGGTTGTAGTTTTGTTTGTTTCATTAATATATTTTAACTTGTAAACACTTGTGATTATTAGTAGGAAAAGTAACGAGCTTATCATTTGTAGTTGTATTCTTTTTTTTTTATTAAACAATGACCATAAATATAGTAACATATTCAATAAACGACCCATAATTATACCGATAAGACATTATTGTTCTTTTATAACTATATTTACATATAGACACATATAATAACTGTAATCATAACTAAATGCTACCTACACTCACAATATTTGTTTCTTCTCAAAGCCAATTCATCATATTTTGACACACCTAATAAAAGGCAAATGACCATAAACAACCAACACTAACTTGTTTTCTTGCGTTTACTAAGTACAACTAGTACAGAACTGCCCTATGGACACATAAATATTTAGTGTGACCATATGTATCACCTATTAGCTACTTTGTCTATTATGTATCTAAAAAGGCACCAGGTTATAGACACACATATTCAATAAACGACCCATAATTATACCGATAAGACA